TAGTGATACCGCCTCGGAAACCCAAGGAGGGGTCGCTATGAGTCGGGGCCGACTCGACGGCAAACAACAACAACAACATATTAAAATTGTAGATTTTTCTCTAGAATTCTCAAAAATGATGAAAAGCCACAATAAGCAGAAATAATTTTTTTCATAAAATCACAGATGACAGAGTGATAAATGATGTACAGAATCATAATATAATTCTTATCAGACACTAGGCAAAAAGATGCATGTCCACAGTAACATTTTTAACATAATCATATGATATAATTACTGCTAGTTTTACCTGTATTGCAAGGGCACGAGCTACCAGACCTCTGAGGTATTGTAAGGGATCTTCTGGGCCTTCCCACTTGCTCTGCCATGTAAGAGGACACTGAAATTTAAAAATGATCAAAGTTAAGTTTAGATATACATGTTATATAACAATGACCTTTTAATATCAGTGTGATGACAAAACATTTGGCATAATCTTCATCATGTATATCATGAATTCATTTCATGAAGTTATGTCTCTTTTTCTCTGATATTATCTCATTAGCATTGAATGGTTTATAGAAGATAAATCAACCAAACCTATTATTATTGAGTCTATTGCTGCCCCAAATCACAGAAATGATAAATGGCAAATTTAGAATAGGAGCTCAGATAGCCTGGCTCTAGAGTCCATTTATCAGAATCAATGCTGCTTTCAAAATACTTTATATTTCTAAAATGTTTTATGTATTGTACCATTTGAGATTCAACATAAGACAATTTTGTATCAGGAATGAAAATGATAATGATGAGGAAACTATAGTTTAGTTAACAAACCTAAAGCTTGTGGGTTTTTGTTGTTGTTGTTGTTTTGTTAGCTAAATGGTAGAGAACTTAAATGGTCTAATCCTAAATCTAACCTGTTTTCACTATCCCATGCTTTTTATGAGAGTTATCATAGAACCAGAACAGGACATGAACAGGTTGCTCATTTGCTCTTTTACTCTCCTGAGCTCTGGTAGCGTAATGCCTAAGGCACGTGACTGCTAACCGGAAGGCTGGAGGTTCAAACCCACAGCCACTCCTCAAAAGGAAGATTAGGCAATCTACTTCCGTAGTGATACTGCCTCGGAAACCCAAGGAGGGGTCACTGTGAGTCGGATCTAACTCACGGCACATAAAAACAACAAGCATCGATTAATTAATTATTCAGCAAGGATCTGTAAAGTAGCTTCTATTTGCTAATCATCTGTTAGGAATTGGTGATATAAAGTCGTAGTGTAATCTTTACCCATAAAAGCTTGTTCTAGAGGGAAGAAAAGATAATAAAAGAGACAGTTATAAGACAATGTATTAAGTTCCCTCATGTTGACAAGCACTATGACTGAGGAACACGGGGTACAGAGGTACAGTACATTAAATCCAAACTGTATATACTGGCAAAAGTGAGGAAAGGCTTTCTGGTGGAGACAATGCTTGAGATGAGTCTCTAAAGGTAAACAGCCTATATTCAGCTAAAGATAAACAGCAGGAAAATAAAGGATTAACAAAGGAAGCATAAGAAAACTACATTGATGACCTAAGTAAGGATCAGTGTATGAAGCTTTTGGTTGTTACACTAAGGAGTTTAAATTTTATCTCGAAAGTAAAAATAAAAGTAAATAAACTCTAAGCAGGGGAGTGGTACAATTAGTTTTGGATTTTAGAAGGATTACCCTAGTATAAATGAGGAAAATAAGCATCAGGGGGATGACACTACAGTCAGGGGGGTAAATAAGAAGGCTACTACCATAGTGTTCTAGGAATGAATCAGTGGAGACCTATAAGAGGGAGATTAAGGATAAACATCTAACTATAGAAAACACACCTACAACACTTTCATGTGCATGCACTTTTAGGTTGGCACAATTAGTATTTCCATTTTAGACATTTAGAAACTGAGGTAGTTTAAGTGGTAGTTTAAGTGGCTTGCCTTAAGAAAACTATATTATAATTTTGGATTTTTTAATTAACAATTTACAATCTTAATATGTTTTTATATGGATTAATTAAAAGATTATCACATTTATGAATTCCCTTCTATTTCCATTTAATAATCAGCTATCTATGACAAACAGCACTAGTCCACTAACAAAAATGATAATCCCCAAATATGAGTATGACACCAGTAATCCATTTTCTGCAAGAACTGTTGAAATTGAACCAAGTACTACACTGGATTTTAGGTTTTGAAAATGTCAGAAGAATATTCATTTCATTCAAGCTTATTAAACAGTGTCTAAACATGGAGACAATGAGCTCTGGCAGCATAATGCTTAAGGCATTTGACTGCTGCTCAGAAGGTTAGAGGTTCAAACCTACCAGCCAGACTGTAGAAAGATGCCTAGGAAATCTACTTCCATAAAGATTTATTGTCTCAGAAACCCAAAGGGGGTCGCTATGAGCTGGAATTGACTAGATGGCAAATGAGTTTTTGAAACATGGAGACAGCACTGTAATTGCTATTTAAAATACTAGAAGTTACCATGTGCTTTTAGTATCTAGAAAAAAGGACTTGGCTTACATTTAAAAAAAAAAAAAACCTCAGGGAATTCACTGAAATTTTGATTTCATATGATTAACAGTAGGAAGAGTTCACAAATTATCACTAACTCCTATATTTGCCAAATTTATAACTCTGTACAATTAATTAACTACAATCTGCTTCATGAACATACACATAACTTGAGAATTGCATTCATACTAAAAATAAAGACAGGCTTCATAGTAAATAATTTAACAATAATAGAGCCCTTATTGTTATACTTGAAAGGAAGTACAACACAGAAGATCAGTAGTTTCTCATAAGTTAGAACAAATTCCAATTTAATCATATTAAGGCCTCGGTTTCGCTCCATGGATCGATCACAGATATTCTGCAAGATTTCTTGTCAGTCTTATCAGTACAGAGAAAGGAATTATGAAACGGCACGTGAGAAAACTAAGGAGTTTCAGATCAAAGACATTTATTTAATTAATTCCTTTCTTAAATATGAATCTCATTTTATGAATCTTTTTACTTTATATTTTCTCTTCTCAGAGGATCTACTATTATTTCACTTCCTCAAAATATATAACTTCAGCTTTTCAACTTAAAATATTATTTAATACTGGTTATCTTAAGAGGTTACATTAAGTTATAAAAAGCTGAGAGAAAAAGAAGAAACAAGTTTCCTTCTGTCGAGTTTCTGCTATGACAGTACTGTGAGCTAGAAGCTTTTTTGTTGTTATCCATATTGAGCTCAATGAATATAGAGACCAAGTACTATTTATGTTTGCTATCTATATGGTCTGGCATGGTATAGATGGTCAAATGGACCAGCTAGGTCCATGGTAGATGGTCAATACATGTTTGCTGAATGTTATTTACCATCCAATTGCAAGCTTCCTTTTATCTAAGCTCCCTCTCTCCCACAGCCCTTGTATATTCTGAAAAAATAACCAGAGGTGATATGGTGGTCATACATTCCAGTTTGCCTATTGATGTACTGCTCCAAAGGCCCATCCAGGTAGTAGGCTCTTTCACTTTGAAAACTATTCTTGTTTGGATTATTAATTAGTTGGTCATCCTAGTTATTAAAAAAAGAAAAAAAGCCATGCTCATGAAACAATATGAAATTAAGTGATTAATTTAAAGATTGAATTCCAACTTCACTGGCACCAAAGTTTAACTAAATTAACTCAGAATTAACAAAAAGCAGGAATTAAGTAAAGAAATAAGCACACTGGGTAAAAGGCAAAAAAATAGAGATGTTGTGATGATTAATAGTATTGTCCAGTGAAAAAATAAGTTTCCTTGAGAAAAGGATCTGCTGACTGAAAATGGCTATTGATGGAGACTGATAAATTCTATCAAAAATTTGTATACTTTAAAATAGGCATTTATTTAGAATTTGTCTTTTAAGATATATAACAGATTTCTACTAAAACCAGCACAGTTTACTTGTATACTTGATTGTGTTAAAAAATATTATGCTTAGCCTTGGGGAAGATGAAGATTAAGTTTATCATTAAATATGTTCAGCAAGTAAAATTATATTCTTTTAGATTCCTTGAGATTTTTAAGAATTTATAGTTTTCTACATTGATTTCTATAATATATTATATTTATGTCACTATGTTGGCATATTTGTATGTATGTCTGCAAATATGTAGATATATCAAGGTTAAAATAATACTTGTATCAATATTTTATCCTATTTTTATCTGAGCTTACATCAAAAACTGAGTTAAACAGATTTTTTAAGGAGCTTTAGTGGCGTAGTGCCACATTTGACTGCTGACCAGAAGGCTGGCAGTTCAAACCCACCAGCCACTCCTTGAAGGAAGATTGGGTAATCTACTTCTGTAGATATCACCTCAGAAACCCAAGGAGGGGTTGCTATGAGTCAGATCCAACTCAATGGCAGTGAGTTTTTTTGTTTGTTTGTTTAAGTGTTTGCATTAAAATGTGATATATAAACATTATAAAGCTAATAATAATAATTGATTTCTATATGTTGCCATACTAACCATGTGTAATGAACCACAGCAATGAAATAAAATTAACACATATAATTTTTTTCATATAGATTTTTTTTTTATTTAAGCTAGAAATAACTACTAATGCAAAAGGGCATAATGTTTTAACAGTAATTATTCATCTCATCATGATATAAATGGTTAATTAATATAAATTTGAACATCATGAAACAATTACTGGATGAGTGTCAACAATAATTTCTGGGCATTAATGCAAGTAATCATTCAATTTGTTGAGTTGGAACAAAAATCCTGGGTTTAGCCTATTATTTTGCTATACTATTGATACCAAAAGGAGCTCTGGGAGCATAATGCCTAAGGCACTTGACTGCTAACCAGAAGGCTGGCAGTTCAAATCCACCAGCTGCTCCTCAGAAGGAAGGTTAGGCAATCTACTTCCGTAGTGATACTGTCTCGGAAACCCAAGGAGGGGTCGCTATGAGTCAGGTCCGACTCGACAGCACATAACGACAACATAGATACCAAAAGAAGCTCTGGTGGCATAGTGGGTAAAGTATTTGGCTGCTAACCAGAAGGTCAGTGGTTCAAACCAACCAGCTGCTCTGTGGGAGGAAGATGAGGCAATATACTTTTGTAAAGATTTACAGTCTTGGAAACCCAGTAGGGGTTGTTATGAGTTGTAATCTACTCGATGGCAGTGGATTTATTGATACGAGATTAAAACAAACAGCTTCCAGTGAATTGACCCAAATCAAGGTGATACCAAATTTACTAGCTGTTAACTGAAACACAGAATAGATGTAACAATCAAAAGTTTTATCACAGAGTTGGTGTGCATGTTTGCTTAAAAATCTTGCATATATATTCTTCCAAACTACA